TATTAGTGTCACGGATTGCTTATGAATGGGATGACTGATAAAAGAATCAAAGGGTCGCAATGTCTGCCCCCTTTAGATGCATATAATTTTTTTTCAACTACGGAAAGGGGTGTTTTCGTTTCTTCTTTTGTTGTTGTTGTTGTTATTATTATTATTATTATTGTTGTTATTGCTCTTATTGTTTTTATTGTTATTGTTATTTTGTTTTTAAGGAGGCTCAGCACACACATGATGGAATTTTACATTCTGTTATGTTCTGCTCAAAATCATAATATCCAGTGTAAACACAAAGACGGCTGTTGTGTTTTTATTCCGTTTTTTTTTTTTTTTTTTTTTTTGCAATAGCTTCCAAAACCAGGATATATTGGCTTTTTCCCTAAGCTTGTGACTATTAAAAAAATTCGTTGCTTCAATTCGGCAAAGTATACGAGGTGTGTTAAAAAAGAAGAAGAAGATAGGTTTTGAGATTTCGTAGGCTAGATACGTGAACAGTCGATGAAAACGTCGAAGCAGAAAAAAAAAATAATTGTCACGGAGAAGCTGCTGAGGATGTTGGCATATGGCTTTCAATTTTGTTGAGAATGAATGGTCACTGATATTCCATCTAGGTACACATACCAGTTCATTTGTGATTACTTGTTGGCAATTTTTTAATCAAAAGCAACATCGTAGTCATGTCTCAGCCAACGTGTCCATCAAACTTGGCCCCAAAGTGACTGTTGTCTGAAACTGAAAAAATCGCTGAAAAGACGAAGCTTTGCCACGATTAAGATGATAAAGACCGCGTCGTTGAAAAAGCTCAAGACTATACCAAAAATCGCCTATCGGAGATGCTTCGAGGATTGAAAAAGACGCTCGCACGGGCGCTTTATAACTATGAGGAATTACTTTGATCAGTACATAAATGTTTTTCGAGAAACATAAAGTTATCTTTGCTTTGAACACACCTCGCACGTGCCATCGAAATGAAATAAATATATGTCGTGCCAAATGGAGGGCTCCATATACCTATTTCCAAATGCCATTATGGATCATTTTGACCCATAGTTTTTGTAGAATCGCTGCAGTCACAAACATGAAACTAAATAGAGGAAATTTGGCACAAGCATTGCCTGGTTAACTAAAAATATGAGGTTAAGCAAGTAAGAAAATTATATTCGGTAGTGATCGAACCCTTTATACCCGTCATCGTTATCCTAAAAAGGAGAAAAACAGGAAAAGATCTATATTTTCATGCTCCATATTATGAAGTGGACGCAGTTAATTTTTTTTATTTCCGAAAGAAAAGTTTTTGTCGCATAGGCGTGTGGGTGTTGGGGGCGTGTTTTGCGACAAGTTTACATACCTCCCGAATTCTTTTGCAAATATATAGGCGATACAATGATTTTCGCTGACATTAGAATATTTACCACAAATACTACATAGACGAACAAGAGACAAACGAACGGACATGTTTAAGTGCGTTCCAAATTTGAAACTGGCCAAGATTTTATATACTTTATGAAGTTTTTTTAAAGCTTTTTTCTGCCCGTTTCAAAGGTAACGAAAAAAAATTTAAATTTTGATACACTATAATATTGAACAGGCGTGATCAATTTTTTTCACTTTTGTACAGGTACTACGGTATCGCCCATGAAATATATGTTCAAATTTATATAGATTGATCTGCTGTAATTTATGAGTAATGAGTCAAAAACCAATTTTTTTTTTTTCCTTTTGAAAAACAGGAATGTTCTCAGTTTACGTGGTGCAATGGGCGTGGCCTCTTTTTTTTCTGGACCTACATCAAAGCCTAGGTTTACGCTATAAACTTTGGAACATCAGGCATTCGCAGACATAACGCAAACGACAATTGAAGCCATCATCTGCGGCAGTGCGTTCAAGTCTAAACTTTTCAAAGAAAGCATAATTTAGTTCATTTTAAAAAGTGTAGCCCTTGATGAGTATTGCTCCTACTTAGACACCGTCTATTATTGTATAATTTAGAAGCGCCCATGAATTTTTTATCGGGATTCATCCATCCATGATTTGTGATCATTTTATTGAGAATTTTATGTTACCTTGGACTAGTGAGTACACCTAAAACACAAGCTTTCAAACGGATTTCTATGTATATACATCACCTTCGCAACGAAAGGAAAGTCAGAGGATTCCTATTCATACATTCGTGCATTCTTTTATTGTGCTCCCCCTCAATGATTCGAGGGGGATTCGAGATTCGCCTTAACATTCGAAACCTATGCGTTTCGTAAATCATATATTAAAGTGAGGGTAGCATCGATCCCAATTTAAGGCAATTTGTGTTGTTGTACTTTTTTTCTTTTTTTTTTTTTTTCGTTCTGCATCGCTTGCACACAGAACTGGTTAAACTCGATTTTTGTGCTCGCGTCTAAAGCGATTAAGCATAGTGGGACATATGAGTTTTACTCGCTGGAAATTATGATTTTAGTCCTTACACTCACACACACACACGTATTAGAAATCTTTCGAAACATATTTATATACGCACACTATTATCAATCATATTTAAAATCTTCGTTAATATCTTACATTAAAGTAATAAATGTTGAGTTGAAATCTTCCTTGAGCTTAAAATCGGATTTGCTAAATATAACTCGATATGATTAATTAATAAATTTTTTAATAAACAATATTTCATTTAATTAATCAATTCTTTGTTATTTATTTATTTTAATTTTTTGTTTTTTTTTTTTTTTACTCCTTTCTTTTTATGACCAAATATGGTCTGATTTCTTCTTGTGTTCATCAGAGAAGAAAAAAAGAAGAAAAGATAAACGAAACGATTCGCAAGTTGTCTTTTCTTTTTTGCTCATTAAATCAGAAAACCAAACAATTTTATTAAGTCGGCAATAAATGAATTGACAGAAAAAATAAAAATGCCTGAAGACGTTCAAGAAATAAACCATTTTATTGTTTATAAAAGAAATGTGAAGACTTTTTCAAATTGTTCATTATCATCTTAAAGAATTTAGCAGTTGCATGTATTTGTTGTTGTTATTGTTGTTGTTATTATTATTATTATTAAAACTTGCATGTCATTCACGATGTGTTTGGTCCGTCTTTTCAGTCACGTAAGGCAATGTTTGGTCATATAAAATAAAATAACACAAAAATATGCACCAGATAACTCGGTTGAGTAGATAGATACGTATATACGTACTATACTATATATGGTTGAATGCGAAGCAACAAGTTGTCTGAACTATTATACATATATATAATATGTCTATATAAATATATATATATATATACATATAGATTTATTTATTTATGTACATATATATATACATTTATATAATGGTAACGTTTTTGTCTGTTCGCTCGCTCACTTACAAGTTTTAACAAACTCAATATTGCTTTCGTTTAGCTATAACGCACCCATATAAGAAAGAATACAATGTGATTGTACCTAGAAAAGCCGATTTCATGCGAAAACGTGCTTTGAATACAGACAACGAGAAGCTCTTCTTTCATTATTTGAAGAAGAACTCTAATTGGAAAGTTTCTCTACGAAGACATTCCGCTTAATAACGCTTCCAAAACTATTTAGTTTTTTTTTTTTTTTTTTTTTTTTTCAAATATGTTGCGATAGAAGATTAACTTATTTCTCTGGGGAATATATAAGATTTTTGTATTACAAGAATACCATCGGTTAAACAACTTGCAAGATTGGCAAAAACAAATGTTGCTTATTTCTTGTGTGCTTCTGCGTGATGTCACAAATGCATATAATACGCAATTTCTTTGAAATATTTCACTATGAACTCCAACACCTCCTGATAAATTACTTTGGATATACGTGCATGTAGGATATACACTGAAACAAAAAAAAAAAAAAAAAAAAAAAAAAAGACTGTTTGCATTTTTTATGAGCTTATCTTAATCTTTCATATTTCTTATCAAAAATGAAAATGAAAAATCAGGAATGGGTAACTTTTTTCATCGACAGGCCAATATAATAATTTTCATATCATAACAGATCGATAAGAATTAAAATTTATATAGGGATATGTAATGGACTAAATTGGTAATGTCCCTGATATCTTATTACATCAAAGTTCGCGCAGAATTCGTCAGTAGATAGTTGAAGAACTAAAAAAATGCGGCATTAATGCATCTTTTCTTCTTAAATGGTCGCTAATGAGCATTCAATAGCTGCACACTTGTGTTCGCAGTGCAGACAGATATAATCCATTCGCAGCATTACCACGTGTTATCAAATTGAAGTATTTTAAAATTTTGATTATCCGCGGGCCTTTAGTTGCCCATCCCTGTATTACATACATTCTGAAGTTATTATAATTTGGATCATCTAATAACCAAGTGAAGCTGATATTCAAACTGAAAATTGTCTTCAGTGTAACGTTAAGGATATACATATAATGTACTGGAATTAAAAAACCACCACCATTGTGTTGAACTCTAATAATAATCTTTGAGAGAAGAAAAAAAAAAAACAAAAACCAAAAAAGGAAGAATGAAAGAATATACATAAATATAACTATATATATATATATATATATATATATATATATATATATAT